AGTCGGGTTGTCGGGTCGTGTCAATAATTGCATGACACCCCTACTTCTGAGTTTATATAAATAATTATAATGTTTCTTGTGACCATTTTTTTTTATTTGTGCATGCAATGGTTCTTCATACAAAATTAAGACACTAAACTCTCTATCTATCATCACGAATTTTTTAACAAAAAGAGTTTTCTATGATTCTCCCTTAAGCCTAAACTAAAGAGTAAATTACAAAGAATATAGCTGAAATTGAAGAGAGAACTTCAAATTATTTTGGAAAGGAAACATTCTACTCTATTCTATAGTTTTGAACAAGATATCCAGCACACATAGAAAGTTTCCAACATGAGCAAGCCAACTGACAAGGCGACGATACTTAATAAGACATAGCTGCAAGAGAATTGTACAAAGAACCATGTTACTTCAGAAACTTCTCATCGAAATGTTCAATGTTGCTAATTATATCATTCTCTGTAAATTAGAAAGTTACCAGCAGGAGGAGGCCAACTGAATATGAAAAAAATAATTTTATATGGATTTTCCCAAATAAGATAATCATCAACTTTGAATATTTTGTTGAAAAATATTATGTAATAATAGATTTCTTTGTACTTTCTTGTAGCAAGAGACTTGAAATTTTCTAGGAAATGTTCAAATAGTACCTTTCAACAATTTTAAATAGATGGAAATGGTCTAATTTTAGTTATGTTGATCAATTGAATTTTTTTTTTCTTTTCAATCATTTGAATAATTCTACGTAAATTATTTTTATCCCAATGGGTCTTAAACTCTTCAATTGACAAAATTGAATTGAATCAAAGGATTTGAACAAATTATGGACATTATCCACATAAACTCATTTTATTTGGGGCTCATTGAAATTGTCACAATGAAACGAATTGCTTGGATCACAAACTTGCTGAAATTAGAGTTCAAATGATTATCCCTCTAAAACCTATGACAAATTTTAAGTGTTTAAAATTTCTATTAGCATAAAAGTTTGTGAATGAATTTTGTATATGATATGATTTAGTTTTAGGCACCATATAAACATCTTTGGTTATGCTTTTGTTTTTTTATTTAACTAAAAAAGGGAAATAGTCAAATAGGTTTGGCTAGGGTTTTTATTTTTGATTTTTTTGGAAATAAATTAGCTTACTCCAAATCTCTCTCTCTCTCTCTCTCTAGATCTCTTTCTTCCTCTGTTCTGTCGCTTTAAGTGGCCATGGCTCAGGGAAGGGGCGGTGCAACGCAAGCAACTATGGCCATTGGCCTTGTGATGCTCACTCTCCTGCTTCTTAACGGCGAGCTCGCCGAGTCGGAGAAGTTCGCCGTCGGTGACGTCCATGGTTGGGCATTCGACGTCAACAACTGGCCTACCGGCAAGACCTTCCACGCCGACGACATCCTCGGTCAGCCAACTCTCTCATCCTTATTAATTCGATCAATATTTTCTAACATCTACAGACCAAATCAAATATTTATTAAACAAATTAATCTCTATATGTCAGAATTCAAGTACCAGAAGGACTATCACAATGTGGTGAAGGTGGACTCAAATGGCTATGCCAACTGCAAAACGGATAATGCTATAAGTACTTTCGACAGTGGTGATGACCAGATCAAGCTCGCAAGCGGCACTCACTACTTCATATGCGGCATCGCCGATCACTGTAAGGTTGGGAATATGAAGATTAAAATCACTGCACAGTAATTTTATGATATCAGAGCTTATTGCTGATCGATCTTTGTGTTAAGCGTTATTGTTCTTCGTCTCTTACCTTATCTTTTCTATATTTCTAGTGCATGGCTGCAGGCTGTGTAGCATGCAAGCTGCTTTTGTGTTATTGAATAAGAGAGATCGATATCGATTGTAACTGTTATGAATAAAGATGTACGTTGTTGGAAGAGATCTCATGAGCTTGATTTGACTATTGCGGTTTGTTTTGGAGAGATTAGTACGAGAAATTATTATGTGCGGACGCCGAATGTAGTTTATTATCTGGAGATCAATTAGAATGCGTCACGTCAGTATTACGTAGCGAGGTACCGAGCCACAGTACCGAGCTGAGGTGATGTGGCGCATTCTGGTTGGTCTCTGGACGGCGTTCACTGTTGGCATAAAATAATTTGCCCTCTTGTACACACCTTATGTATAAGAGAGAAAAAAAA